AGAAAAAGATTTAGGTTATCAGTTTAAAAAATTGACAAATCGAATTTTCAAGCACTTTCAATGATATGGATGTATTGAAAAACTTCCATCGCTTAGAAAAACTATGTTTATTAAACACTAACGATATAAAATATGGTATAACTTTTTAACATCAGCACTTATTTGTGTAATAAGTTATAAAAGTTTATTTAGAGCCACATTTTGTCAAAATTTATTAGTTGACAAAAAATGAATATACTAAACACCTCAGACATGTCATAAAAGCATTCAAACGAAAAAAATTTGATAGCATTGATATTGTTATAACGATCTGTCAATCATTAATAATACAAAAATAACTTTTATTATATCAGCCGAAAATCATTCGAAACAGCTGTAAATAATGTGCCGGCTTGAGCTAACTTACTTGGGCCGGCTTGAGCCAGCTGGCTTGAGCCATCAGCTCGAGCCGGCTCGGCTTGGCTTAAGCCGATTCCATCCCTAGTATTTATGCTGCCGCTGCGCAATATCCGGTCAAATAAACATTTCCGCTTGCCTCTTGTCCCATACATTCCTTCACTAATAATGTTTTTAATCGTTCGCAGCTTCTTCTACAACCAGAGCTAGCTGCTTTTTCCAACCAATGCGTAGCACCTTCAAGATCAACTTCACACCCAATTCCTTTTTCCAACGCATTAGCCAAGTTGTACATGGCAGCCAGGTGATCCTGCTCAGCAGCCATGCGGAAATAATGTAATGCCGTTTTTTCATCTCTTTCACATCCAATACCAAGTTGTAGGCATACCCCTAATTTATCTTGTGCACGAGCATGGTCTTGTGCTGCGGCTTCACGATACCAATTAACTGCTATATATTCGTTCTTTTCTACACCTATTCCATTAGCATAGCAAAATCCCAAATTGCATTGCGCCCACGGGTTTTGTGCTTTAGCAGACAGTTCATACCAATAAACTGCTTTAGATTCATCCTTTTCGACACCTAGTCCTTCTTCATAGCAATATCCTAGGGAGTTTTGTGCTAATGCGTTACCTTGTTGAGCTGCATATGTGAACCATTTAACTGCTTCCTGTTCGTTCTTTTCTACACCAATACCGTTTCTGAAGCAATAACCAAGACTTAGTTGAGCTGGTGCGTGGTTTTCTTCTGCGGACAGAATGTACCAATAAACGGCTTCGATTTCGTTAACTTGGACACCAATACCGTTTTGATAGCAATACCCAAGAGAATGATAAGCAAAGATATTTCCATGTTCTGCTGACTTCGTGTACCAATTTACTGCCTCAGTCTCATCCTTAGGTACACCGATACCATTTTGATAGCAAAAACCAAGGTTATGTTGCGCACGTGCATGTCCCTGAAGAGCTGCCTTTCGGTACCAGTAGACTCCTTTCTCGTCGTCCTTAGGAACACCAATGCCATTTTGGTAGCAATACCCAAGATTACATTCTGCCCAAGGATAACCCTGTTCAGCTGATTTTAGGTACCATTTTGCAGCTTCTACAGGATCTTGCTCGACGCCAATTCCATCTTCATAACAATAACCCAAAGAATTTTGAGCAAATGCATTTCCTTGTTCAGCTGATAATCGATACCACTTAACCGCTTCTTCTACATCCTTTTCAACACCAATTCCATCTTCATAACAATAACCAACATTATATATTGCAACAGACTCCCCTTGTTCAGCAGCCCTACGATACCACTTCATTGCCTCGACCTCATCTTTCTGGACGCCAAATCCTTCTCCGTAACAAAAACCTAGAATACCTTGGCCACGTGGATGTCCTTGTTCAGCAGATTTCTTGTACCACTTAAAAGCTTCAGACTCATTTTTATCAACACCCACACCATCATGATAACAAACACCCAATGAATATTGTGCGGCAGCGTGATTTTCATTACAAGCTGCGTTAAATAGCCAAGCGATAGCTGTTTCACCTTGCTCTTTAACTTTTTGTTGCCACATCTCGGCCTCAGCTCGATCAATACGGACACAAGGCCGACCATATTTTCTTAAAAACGCGAGCCTAGCCTGAGCCAAGCCATTTCCGGCCTTTGCAGCTGGGATGTAATGCAACTCTGCTTGTTTAAAATTTTTTTCAACACCTAATCCAAATTCATAACAAAAGCCCAAGACCCCCCGTGCTTCTATATGATTTAATTTAGAAGCACGTTGAAAATATTCAAATGCTTTCTTTTCATTTCTTTGTTCTCCAGCTCGTCCAAACAGGTATGCCTCACCCCGTTTATAAAGGTAATCAGGATCACAATCTTGTTGATTATTCTTGTTGATTTTACTACAACTACTATTACTGCTATTATTACTGCCAGAATTATACTTTTTGTTTAATTTTAAAACGAACTTCTTTGATCGATGGAAGATGAGTGCTGCGGTATGTGAAAATGGATGAACTGCCATTATTTAAAAACTAAAATTTCAGTAAGTTATATGGAAAAAATAGATGCTCACAATACGAAAAATATTGAATTATCTGATTGGGATTTTACTATATGAGAGAATTATCTTGATAGAAGGTTTAATGTTATAATTGTTTCTATATAAAAATCTATTGATGATCTATATAAGATCTTTCTAGACACGTCTTGCATAAGTGAGCAAAAATTACGAAGGGGAAATCGATTGAAGGCCCACGACAGTGTCTTGCAGTTTCAGTGATATCTTAATTTGTGTTCGTTTCAATGTTAAACTTAGAGTGCCAGGATAATAAAAGGGAAGGCACTCGAAAAGTGTTGTAAAGCTGTAGAATCCGCGCACAAACATAAGAAAAATTAACAACTATAATCAATTAACAAAACAATAATAAACGTGACTAGATTAACTTGCAGGAACATTACTTCAATATAAAAGCGTTTTCAATGAATCTTATCGTTATAGAGTAGATTTAAGTCTTATTAGGGTATTAGAGAGATATCCTTACTGCCTGTTCAGGCCCCTTAGTATAAAAAAGTGAATGTTTAACGTATCGAAAATGACTTTTTTTTATCGTTTCTTTTTAAAGATAGAAGTTTCGTATATTTTTTGTCTATTAAGTTGTTTTTTTGTTTTTTTTTTTTTTTTTAACCCTATTCACTAAGAATTATTGTTCTTTAAATTGTACGTACGTATGCATTTTAGATTACACTGAAAGCTAATTTTATGAATCGCATATCTTAAATTGGTATTATTATCCCGTTATAATCCGATAGTGATCAGAAGATCTGGGGGAAGAAATTAACGCTTTTTAGCAAAACTTACATTTTTGATACTTCTGCACTTACTTTTTTCGATATACCCTAACGCTAAAATTTCTCTGCTCTGATATAATTACCACGTGGTATTTAATTTTAAGAAATTTTTGGAAACGTTTAGATGTATAAAAAAAAGTACTGTAGGTGCCCGGTAAATCAAAATCGTAAGTTTTGCGTTAGTGTCACCACTAAAAAATTTCGAATTAAAATTCAAGGTCAGGTGTAACATAAAATCAAAACTAGGGTTGTAAAATTACCGTAATTTTACGTAATTTTGCGTAATTTTGTGTAAAACGATGTAATTAGTAAAAAGGTTTGAAACTCATGAAAATGTAAGATTGTAAAATGTAATTTTCAAAACAAAAGACTCCAAACCCTAACCCTAACCCTAACGCTAGTAGCCAAATTTTTTTTAGGGTGGTGATGCTAAGGTTTTATATTCTAGACCCCGGTTTAGGACTAGATCCCCAAATATGATTGGTTCGAATCTAGCGTCAAGTGAAAAATTTTTTTCTATAATTTAAAAAAATAGGCTTTTTTATTATGCGTAAATAAATTTTTTTATAGCTTGCACTAGGGGTTATAAACAATTAGGGTATTATATCCCTTAAATCGTTTAAAGGTAGAGTATTCAAAGATCATTTTTATATAGATTTACCGATCAAAAAAATTTTTATATATACATTAAAAATATGCTGCTAACAAAAAATTTTAAAATTATAGTTAGTTTTTACCAGAATTCTGTGGCACGCAGGTTAACCTTTTAACCTTCATTCGACATTGCTATATCGTCAAATCTTTCTAGGTCGATTAATAATCCTCCTAGATAGCACAAAAAAATTCTACCGGTTTTCTAGAACTACTGTACAGAAATTTCGATCATTGAACAGTTTACAGTCAGGGATGCAAAAATGCTATTCTTGATGGATCGGCATCACTGAAATTGATGGAGTTAATAAAAAAATTTATTTGGGTACTGTTCTTGATAAGGTTCTAAAAACAAACCCTAATTTTAATTGTTTTCACTATAATAGTATAGTTTTTTTTTAGAACCCTATCAAAAATGGTATATGGATTATTTATTTTTTTCTACTTACAGTCAGACCTCTCTAAATGCAACCTCCATAAATGCAATACCTTCCTAAATATACATTTTTGTCTTGGTTGTATAAAATCATTAGTGCTAAATGCATGTTCTATATTTTGCAAATGCATGTTTACTCAAAAGATTTTTTATATCATATAATCTCCCTAAGTGCACGTAGCCAATCAGAAGTCAGTATTTAAGTTTGTTACACAAGTTTGCAGATTAAATATTAAAAGCTGCAATTTGATTGGCTCTTTTTAAATACAAATCTCCCTAAATGCATGTTTTAGGCTGGTCTGTACATGTTGTATTTATAGAGGTTTGACTGTATCAAAAACAGTACTGACAATCCATTAAGAATAGTATTTTTGTATCAGGGATTTTATGTAATATCGAAATGATTTGCAATATATATACAAAAAAATTTATTTTTTTTTAAAAAAAATATTTTTTATTAAAGCATCTCTGGCCAAAGATATATAACTTATATATTTCTGGTCTTTTGACCAATTAAAATTTAAAAAATTACATGATCGTTATTTTTGATGATCATTTAATGTCAGATAGGTTGACAACCTTTGTGTAATCTAGAATTACGACCTCACCAAAAAGATAGACCATCTATTAGTATTTATAAATTGTATCAAAATTTTTAATATTTTGATCAAAGATATCTTAATACCCACTTAATCAAATTCGATAAAAATTTTTTTATTCGAATTCTACAAAACTATAAAATTTGAATAAAAAGAATTTGATCAAGTGGGTGTTAAAATATCTTTGATCAAAGTTTTAAAAAATTTCTAAACATATATATAGAAATTGTACCAAAATTTTAAACAACTTTAATTAAAGATATCTCAACATTCACCTGATCAAATTCAATAAAAATTTTTTTATTTAAATTTTACAGATCTGTAGAATTCAAATAAAAAATTTTTATTAAATTTGATCAAGTGGGTGCCAAGATATTTTTAATCAAAGTTTTAGAGAATTTTTAAACAAATATTATATAAAAATTGTATCTCAGTACTCACCTGATCAAAATTAATAAAAATTTTTTATTCGAATTCTATAGAACTGTAGAATTGAATAAAAAAATTTTTATCAAATTTGATCAAGTAGGTGTCAAGATATTTTTGATCAAAGTTTTAGGAAATTTCTAAATACCTATTAAATATACAGTTTTGATCAAAAATATCTTGACACCTACTTGATCAAATTTGATAAAAATTTTTTTATTCGAATTCTACAAATCTGTAAAATTCGAATAAAAAAATTTTTATTAAATTTGATCAAGTGGGTGCCAAAATATCTTCGATCAAAGTTTTAGAGAATTTCTAAATATCTATTATATAAATACTACAATAAAATTTTTAAAACAACTTTGATCAAAGATATCTCGGCACTCACTTGATCAAATTCAATTAAATTTTTTTTATTCAAATTCTACAGATCCGTAGAATTCGAATAAAAAAATTTTATTGAATTTGATCAAGTGGTTGCTGAGATATCTTTGATTAAATTTTTAAAGAATTTTAAACACTTATTAAAAACTATGTCAAAATTTTTAAAACAACTTTGATCGAAGATATCTCGGCACCCACCTGATCAAATTCGATAAAAATTTTTTTATTCAAATTTTATTGATCTGTAGAATTTGAATAAAGAAAGTTTTATCGAATTTGATCAGGTGGGGGCTAAGATATCTTCGATTAAAGTTTTGAAGAATTTTTAAATGTCTATTATATAGAAACTATGTTAAAATTTTTAAATCAACTTTGATCAAAAATATCTTAGCACCCACCTGATCAAATTTAATGAAAATTTTTTATTAGAATTCTACAGACTATAGAATTTGAATAAAAAATTTTTATCAAATTTGATTAAGTAGATGCTAAGATATCTTCGATCAAAGTTTTAGAGAATTTTTAAACACCTATTAAATAAATATTGCACTAAAATTTTTAACAATTTGATTGAAGATATCTTGGCACTCACTTGATCAAATTTGATAAAAATTTTTTTATTTAAATTTTACAGATCTGTAGAATTCAAATAAAAAACTTTTCAACAAATTTGATTAAGTAAATATCAAGATATATTCAATCAAAGTTTTAGATTACAAGTTCATCGTGGAGGCTCTGTAGTCAATTACACAATATATAGTTTTTTTTAAACTTAAATTTTTATATAATTTATTATTTTATATAGTTTATTATATTTATATTATATTTCTATTATATTAAGTATTAAACAAACAATTTTTGTATAGAAAATAATAGTAATGATGATAATACTTCACAGATGCTGATTCTACATCTTGGCAAAATCTAAAAACTTGAACAAAACATTATAGCAGAACCAAAAACACCCAAACAAGCTAAGAAAAAGAAAAAAAACTTACCAAAGCCTCCAATTTTATATTCCACATCTTGCTGAAATTCAAAAAACCTAAACAAGCCAAAAAAAAGAAAAATTACTGAATAAACAAAAAAAAAAAAAAAACTTACGAAGTTGCTAATTTTATGTTCCATGTTCTGGC